TCGATAGAGTTATTAACTCTTGATTGTGCTTTGGAGCCAAGAGACAAGACAAATTTTTCAAGGTTGAAGACGTTTACAATCTTGTGAATAAATTTTATCGAAGGATTTCACGGAAGTTGAAAAGAATGATTTATGAACATAATTGCGTCATTATTAGTTGAAGTTATCTGGAATTCAGGTCTAAGAAAATTGTTGACAATCTCTGACCTAAGTCAGTGGTTGGTGGATACTAGGAAAGTGAACACTTATCCATGTATATTTTGAACGGTAAAACTTCTATTGACTCTCCAGTTTCTACAACAAGTGCTGAAAGAGCTTTTTCTACAATGAATATAATCAAGACAACACTTCGCAACAAAATGGAGGATGAATTTTTTTAGAGTTGCATGCTTATCAACATTGAAAGAGATATTACAAGGAGCTTTAGTAACATCGCTCGTGGATGCATTTCGAAATTTGAAGGATTGACACATTTTATTGTAATTATGTGATAGTTATGTCTTTTGCATTTTTTAAATTATTATTTATTTTATTTTAATTTTAATTGTTATTTCATATAAGTATAAAAATATATACATATTTAATGTTATCATTTATTTTTTAAAATAAACAAATAATAAAGATAAAATTATATATATAACTTAAAGATGTTAAAAAAATTCAACCTCGGTTTATATCTAGTTCTGAATCCGTCCTACATAGAAGAAGCAGATGGATCTAAGATGCAATCATGCATAGCCCACTCAATTCCAGATTACAAGTCACAATCTTCTCTTTTAAATCCTACGATCTTGACTGAAGTTTTGTCGTCACCCCCTAATCTCTGTTTTATTTCTTGTACAAGATCGGGAGTAAAATAATTAATATAAAAAAGTCACTGCCAGCCGGTTTCAATCCTCTCGGTTTTCTCGTGAAAATCAAACCCCCCCCCCCCTCCCCACCCCAAGTTAAAAATGAGGAAAAAAAACGCGACAGTGAATTTTATTCTAAAAAACCTACATATAGAAGCCAGAAGACTGGGTTTCCTCGAGAAGTAGAGAGGAAAATTAGATACAAAAAGTAGAGTTAATAATTCGTCGTAAGCGCTGGAAATGCCCTGCATCAAAGGCGGTTCCGGTTTACCGCCGATCCACTGTCTCTGTCACGTATACCCCCACTTATCTCTCTCTATCTCTGTCACCGCCTGAGTCTGGTACCTATTGGTCTTCATTTTTAAAATACTTCTTTAGGATATTACCTTTTATGTAAAACAAGTTTATTACCGTCTCAGAGTTTTGATGTGAAAATTCTAGTCTGTTTTAAGAAATAAACAATACCCAGAAACCAAAACCCTAGCTTTATCTCTTCCACACTTGATTTTTCACAATCTAAGCCAATATCCATTAGCTGAATCCTGTGTTCTAGATTATGGCATTTGATCACAACGCTATACCAAAAGATCTGAGACCGTTGACTGTGGTTAGCTCTATAACTGAAGAGCCCCGCATTACCTCTACTAGTAATGTCGGTGGTAGAAACATTGAAGGGTTTTTCCCAATCCATCTCTGGAGCCTGCAAGTCCTGGTACGTGCATATCTTTTATCCAGCAACTATGGCTAATTCTGGTCTTGTAGGTTTGGGGTATGCAAATGCAGTGCCCTTGGCACCAGGTGCCCCTGCATGGAGGCCTCCCATGCCAATGCATATACCTGTGCCGGTGGGGCGCCCAAGTATGAATCCTGTTGTTGGGTTTGGCTATAATCCAAATTTGAGCAATATGGTTGTTGCTAATGCTGTGGATCAGTTTAGTAATGGTATGGTAGGGGCATGGTTCCAATCCTAGTTTGGGCAATAGAAACAGTGGGAATGGAAGTTATCAAATGAGTAATGATGTTAGGACAACAGGTCTTGCACCAAGTTCCAATATTGAAAATAGGGGTTGTGGCAATGGAAATGATCAGTTGCAGAATGAATTATTTGTTGGGTTTGCTCATAAACCAAATCAGGACTCAGAAGCAATAGCAGCGGGGCTGATCAGGTGAGTGATGAGGGCGGAGGTGATTCGGTGTCAGAAAAAAGGTTAAGATTTGTGTAGTTTTGGGGGAAGATACTACCTAGACCTAGTGATGGGGTGTTGAGATACGTTGGGGGCCAGACAAGGATTATTACTCTGAGGAGGGATGTGAGCTTTAATGAGTTTGTGCAAAAGATGGCGGATGCTTATGGGCAACCTGTGGTTATTAAGTACCAGCTTCCGATGAGGATCTCGATGCATTGGTATCGATTTCATCCTTGGATGATCTTGATAATATGATGGATGAGTATGACAAAGCGGTGAAAGGTCTTCAGATGGGTCAGCTAAGTTAAGGGTATTTTTGTTTTCAGCTTCCGAGCTTGATCCTTCTGGTATGGTTCAATTTGCGGATTTAATTGATGATGGGCAGAAATATGTTGAGGCAGTGAATGGAATTGTGCAAGGATCACTGGAGGCATCACACGGAAGGAGAGCTTAGCAAGTCTGGCTTCAACACGAAATTCTGATTTTAGTGGGAGTGAGGCTGTTGATAGCATTGGTACTGGTCAGGGGGATGTTAATGGGGCTCCATCAACAAGCATGTTGTCACCTGGAGGGAATTCAGCTACTTTTGTTGATACTGGTCCAAAATAATGGTTGTGGATCCTAGTCCGGCTGTTTATGCAGATGGTGCTGTTCATTTGGGAATTCCAGTGGTAAAGTCTGCTCCTCCTCAAACATTGTCTTCTCAACATGAGGTTGAGTCAGAGAGGCTGATGCCCCTTACTTCGCCACCTCAACAAGTGAATATGATATGCCACAACACTATGCATCTACTTATATTGATCCTCGCCCTGAGGTTATTAACCATTCTGATCATGTGCATCTTGCACCTCAAATGGGGTCAAGTCCTATGTTGGTGGGCAAAACTGATTCTATATTTAACCAACAACATTTTTGTGATAATTCTTCTTCTCATCAGTTCATTCCTGCCGTGCACATGACAATGACTCCCTCCACTTCACATGTTGGTGTTAGACCAACAGTAGTTCAGCCACTGTTGCAACCCAAACAAATGCCGATGGAGAATGTTCAGCTTCCTGTTGATCAGAGACAAAATGTTTATCAGGCTCATATTCCAACCGAAATGGTTCCAGTAAGTCAGGGTTTGATGGATATGACAGGTGAGTTACAATCACAATATGTTTTGCCGACTCATACCAGCTTAAACAGGATGTCCCGCGTACTGGGGCCATTGACATTCATGCTGCAGAACAGCCAGTGCCCAAAGCCTCAAGAGAATATCATGGCAATATTCCTGGTGTCCCCAAAGATGATATTGTAGACCCTAACCATCTGATTCCCATTGATGGGATGATGGGATAACCAATGACCAAGGTAATTCACCTCTTTACAAACCAGAAAAGATATCTTGGATGAGAGAACTCCACAAACAGCAGAGAGAGAGGTGCTTTGGATAACATCTTTATCAACAAATAGACTCCAATGAGAGTTTATTTTGGATAATGTAATAACACATACACAACCAAGAATTGAAGCGCAAAACTTGGGTTCTCTGAAGTTCAATATGGGAACCCTCAATTTTCTGGTGTTCAGTCGGCACATAAAGTGGATGATGTGTTGGATTCCACAGATTCACTTTTTAGCAATCAAGATCCTTGGAATTTACAGCAAGATGCTCAATTTTCCTAGACCTAACAAGATTCAAACACATAGAGAGGGATTAGCTACTAAAGACCCTTTTGGAGAGAACAGGGCAGTAATCAATGGTGAATCTAAAACCCAATCGGAAGATGAAGTTTACCAGTCATTAAATCATTTGAACAGGATTTCACTTCAGACAACACACAATCCACACAAGGTGAGGTATTTGATTTCTGTTTGCTACAGATGTTGGCATTTTGCTTTATGCATAGAGTAAATGTTTATTGTCTTTGCCTTCACTTGTAAAGGCTCGGCTGAGGAACTCATCAAGAAAGAACTACAAGCTGTTGCTGAGGGAGTCGCTGCTTCTGTTTTCCAGTCATCTACCGCTTCCAATACCGACATACCAGAAACAACCGACAAATCTGGTTTTGAAGGCAATCAAGAGACTGATGTTTCAACTAGAAACATTGAAATACAGCATAAGCTAAATTTGAGGTGTGCAATATAAGATCTCTTCATTCTTTATCTGTGTCTCTACAAGCAGATGAATTCCTTGGACTATCTTTAATGTTTTGTTTTCTTAATTCAGAAAATCAAGACCAAACAACCAGACAGAACAAATTTTGGTTTTCGAGTTTCAGATGGCATTGGTTGCTTGCAGGTTGAATAATTGTTTTTACGTGACGTCTGTGATTTTATGTCAACTCTTTTCCCATAAATTTAGCTTTATTCATTTTTCAGATTATAGAAATATTGACCTTGAAGAGCTGCGAGAGCTCGGGTCTGGCACCTTTGGTACTGTTTATCATGGGAAGTGGCGGGGTACTGATGTTGCAATCAAACGGATCAATGATAGATGCTTTGCAGGGAACCTTCTGAACAAGAACGCATGGTACGACTCTTTATTTTCTTTTTGCATGCTCTTATTTCTCCATAGTAGTTCCACTATGAAATATCGCTCACTAACAACTTGTACTATGGAAAATGCATATGATAAGATTGATGATTTCTGGAATGAGGCAATTAAGCTTGCTGACTTGCACCACCCCAATGTTGTGGCTTTCTATGGAGTTGTTCTTGATGGTCCTGGTGGCTCTGTGGCAACTGTGACAGAATTTATGGTTATGGTTCTCTAAGGACTGCTTTGCAGAAGAATGAGAGGTTCTAAAAGTTCTAGTTTTGTTTTCTGTACTGTATAAGCTTTCTTATGATTGTGTTTTGATTGAACATTTATCTGATTATAAATAGTTATTGGATGACCTGCTCTTTCAGGAATTGATAGCGTAAGAGACTTTTGATTGCCATGGATGGCTTTTGGAATGGAGTATTGCATGGAAAGAATATAGTGCACTTTGATTTGAAGAGTGACAATTTACTTGTCAATCTTCGAGATCCCATCGCCCGATATGCAAGGTTTGGTCGGGTCTAAGTTTTACTTGCATGCTATTCTGGTGCCAGTTCTATGGTGGAAAGCTTTTCATTATTTATTCCAAACATCCTTGGATGGAATTGGAAATTATATAGATTCACTCTGGGTATTAATTGGACATGTTTCTTGGTTAGAGGAGGTTAAGTGGCAAATTTAAAATAGTCTTAAATTCTCAAGGTGAGTAATTTTGTGACTGAGTTGGCTGATATGTTAGATATCATATTATGTTGTGGGATTGAGGTTTCTGTGGGCATGTTTGGTTCAAGAGCAGAAGTCAGTATATAAGAACAGGACAGGGTCTTGAACGAATTCCTGAACTTTTTTAAGAGTAACCTCAATAATATGAATAACAGACTGATTTAGGTTTTAAACCTTGTTTCTTTCAAAGTAAAATTATGGGTTCTGGTATATATATATATATATATTTTTATCAACTGTTAAAAGCTGGAGCAAGCCGAGTCTTAATGCCGAAAATGGGGTGATTGTATGGTACTCTTGTTTATCTTAACTTGATACATGAAGGTTCCCTTTCATTTGCTTAGTGATTTTAATGATGATAACTTCAATTTCATTCCCAACCATTCTTCAGTTCTCATGCCAAGTTTTTCGGTACCAGGTTGGTGATTTGGGCCTTTCCAAGGTGAAATGTCAAACTCTGATCTCAGGTGGTGTCCGTGGAACCCTTCCGTGGATGGCTCCAGAACTTCTGAATGGAAGCAGCGGTCTTGTCTCAGAAAAGGTCTGTGATTGCACATTATTTGGTTCAATGCCCACTACCAATTCATTTCTTACATGCTACTTCTGCCGCATATGATCATCTTAAGATTTCTGTTTTGGTATTTCCTGTAATTTAGGTGATGTGTTCTCATTTGGTATTGTTATGTGGGAGCTTCTCACTGGAGAAGAACCATATTCAGACTTACATTATGGGGCAATTATTGGTAATTGCACTTTTTATGAATGTATTCTTAATTCAATTGTTCAAACCATTGTATTTGATGGCTCACATTTTTTCACTGAGCATTTGCCTTGAATTAATTCATTCAGGTGGCATTGTAAGTAATACACTAAGGCCACCGGTTCCAGAATGCTGTGACCCGGAATGGAGATCATTGATGGAGAGATGCTGGTCACCCGAGCCATCAGACAGACCGAACTTCACCAAGATAGCAAATGAGTTACGCTCAATTGCAGCAAAGTTCAACCAAAGGGACAAATCCCACAAAAATAAGCAGAAAGCTCCAGCCTCGGGCTTCAAATATGATTTTGGACAATCTGCTCATTGTTGAAATCCCTTGTTTCCTTTGCATTTGCTGGCAGTTGGAGGAATAATAGGTGGTCGTAAATGTGCTGCTGTTTGGCATGAACGTACACAGCACGGGAAGAGGAATGGAACTAAGTTTGTTATTATTATTTAATTATTTTACTATAGAAATTATATTGGTTGATTTTGTTGACGTTGACTTTCCATCTGATTGAAGTTTGTTTTTATATGCAATTATATTGTTGGGGAATTATATGTTGAAAATTTGCATCGTCTGTAAACTTCCGTCCTAACAGAGTTGAGTTGTGCTTTTGGCTTTTGTTGCTGATTCATTCATTTATCTACATGGAATCCATTTATTACACTTATATTATGGTTCTAAGTAATTTAAAAAAAAAAATCATCTTGTTTCAACTCTATATTACAGTAGAATAATTGCATTTTTATTTATAAATATCTGATTCAACATTTTTCATGAATATGCAATAATATTGTTAAATCCATGGCATATTGATAGACCTTTTTCAGTGACTTTACCTGATGCTTTTGCAAGCTTCAACTTAAACCCTTAGTTCTGCACAAATTGAGCAAAGTCTTCTAGATATTAATGTTTGCAGCTGGAAACTTGATCAAAGTTTTGAATCAGTATTACATTAAATAAACAGTGACTTTACATATATATGCATATGCATATTCATTCGAGTAGATAATTTAATCTAAGACAACATTGTTACACATATATCAGCGGATTCCAATACACCTAGAACTGACTGGTGCTCACCTCAAGCAATTTGTAAAGCTGAAAAGCTCGACCGAGGAATGCTGGCTATTCGCATTGCAACAGTTTCAAGCTTAAGTCCCATTACTATGAACAGATCGACAACAAAACGTGGAGTTAACTATTAAGAGTTTCTTTCTTTTTTTAATTTACACGAAGTGATCATGACAGGGTTAACCTGTGTTACTTATTTTCCAAACCGAAAGTAGCCAATGGTACTCGAGAAAAGCTCATCTCGATCGAGAATAAACGCGACATAAGCAGTCTACATCTTACGCTTGCTCTCAGAGAGAAGAGGGGTTACTATGCCAGTTCCTTTTTCTCTGGTTTATGAACCAGTTGTTAATCTGATTTAAGTGCAAACCTGTTTCCTGCACTAATTTTTGCTTGTCTTCCTCCTGAAGCAACATTTTGAGGAGACACTTTTTTCATAAAAACAGTTGAAAACAACGTACTTGGATGATCAGAACTAGTAGGGAAACATAGCACACTCACAGTTGGGTAAGGCCACTTGGAATGTGACTGCCACCAAGCTCTTAAAAACAAGGTGGTATCCCCTGGTAGCTTTCCGGCTCGACTCTTACGCATAATTTCCTCTCTAACGTCCACAATTTTCTCCTTGTAACCCTAAATGACCAGATCATATTTAGCTGCGGTGTTACATGTCGAATGATTTTACTTTTAAGTTTGTAAAGTCATACCTGTTTCAGCTCGTGCTTCAGTTCTTGCCTAACTCGCTCCATTAATGATCTCTCGGTCTCGGTTGGGACCAGGGGGCCTAACCCATGTGTCAATCCCATCGAAACTTCCATTAAACAAGCTGGTCACTATCTACAACCTCATCTTCTTCATCAGACATGATTGCACCAGTTCCTCACCTGGAGATACACCTGCTCATGCTTTTTACGTCAGCTCTATGTTTTTACCACTTCAATCTGCGGATAATGCAGTCATTTTACAAAACAATCAAAATAAATAGGGAAGGATTAAGTTCATTGTTATGACTACAGTAAGCATGAAAGCTGGATGCAGTATAATTCAAAGACTGAACCAACTTCTATGGCTTATCAATAGACGTTTTTGCTGTTCCTATTGAATTAATGCAGCAAGATCATAGTAATTACCGCTGCTCTGCCATGGTATCTAGTTTGGGCTCTGAGAGAGATTGGTTAACAATCTACAACTTATATAACTCGGTAAAATCTCTAGCGAAGTTCACTGGTAGAGAACTAGCAGAAACAATTAGCTGAACTCTGGACCAAGAGGATGGTTGGCAAAAGTTGATAAGCAAAACCAAGATATAACCGAAACGAATAACATTGCTCATGTGCAATATAATGATGCATCGACATGCTAATCCTACTTTATGCTATCCATTCCGGAAGCTGTTTACTGTAGGGACTTGCTTAAGATCCCAACAAGCCATAGCTGCTTCCATGCATGAACACGAACACGTTGTTGCAATTGGTCTTTGAAGAAGCCAAGCAATAGAACATAATTTGCCTACATCAAAAGTAATAGGAAAAGAGAATGCTCAAACAGAAATATGATATGACAATATCATGATTGTCATTAATGAGTAGTGGGTTCAGGCCAATTCGAAAAATTTCACTTCTGAATCTATCTCGTTTCTAAGAATAAAGAATAATCCTTTTTCGTTTTAAGCCTTTTTAATTTTACATAATCTCTTTTGGCTGATACATAAAATACTAGTCTACCATGCATAAAACATCCTAATACAAAAGGATTAGATTAGAAGTTTTAGCTGGTTAATCGGCACAAAAAATTCAGTGTAAAGTGTAACCAATGGATTATAACTAAACAAAGTGAAGAAAAATAACTAAAGCCAGTTGGTCAACGATGACCCAAATGAGAAAGATAATCAAGAACTCATCAAAAACACAAGGATGATTCAGATCAGGAAACGAGAAGAGAAAAGGATTACCATGAAGTAATCGAGTTCTTCCTCAGCGGCAGCAGCTGAGGAGTACTTAGCCAACACTTGTTGAGAGCTAGCCATCTGAGCATCGATCTGACCAAGCAGGTCAACAGGCTTGGCAACACGTAGGCAGGCGACGTGAGCTTCCAACAACTGGTCGTACATGGGGTGCTTTGTTATCTCTTCCTTGCATTTGGCTCTTTCTCAGTGATCGAGGTCCGCAGCTGAGGGTTGGAATCGTTTAGAGCAAGGGTTGCATGTACTTGGTTTGGTCGGAGACAAAACCATCGAAAGTCATGTCGTGTTGATCAGAGAACTGGAAAGAGGCTTCAAGGGGGTTTGATGTTTAAAGAAGAAGAAGAAGAGGATAAGGAGTAGAAGAAATGAAATTAATGAAATAAACTAAGAAAAAAAAAAGGAAAGCGGGGTTGTCGGAAGATTGTGTAATAAAAGACAAAGTGAGGGGAGATCCATGATGATGATGATGCAGGAGGAACAAGAGGGGACGACCATTGACGTTTCAGTTAAATTTTTGGTATAATACCAAAATTAGCCCCCTAATATTTATTAAAATAGTCATTTTGGTTCTTTTTTTATTTTTTTATTTTTTTGAACAATTGATCTCAATGTTTCATTTTAGAGCAAAAAATCCCATAATATTTAATAGACTAATTACTTTAGTTCTTATTTTTTATATAGTATTTTAACCATCAACATTTTATTTTAAGTTAAAAAGACCTCTATTTCATAACGTTATTCGTGTGTTAACTAATAATTTTCATTTATAGAGTGAATTTTCCTCCTAAAGTGAAATATTGGGACCATAATCTTTTACCTCTTAATTTTTATAGTCTGGTTGCGTCGTCTTCTACCTCTTATGTTTCATCATTTTTAACTCATAATCTTTTTACTCTAAATTCACTGATACAAGAAAAACAATCGTATATGATTTTTTTTAAATAGCTGGTAATAACTGAACAATAGAACAACAAACAATTAGAACCATACACAACGGAAAAATAAATCTTCTAAATGACTAAAATTAAACCAGTTATAAAAACTAAACGACTCGGAGTGCACCAAAGTGCATATAAAGATAAATCCGAGGAAAGAATAGTTTAGAGAAGTTTCAACCAAAGCCATGAAGACACACAGGAAACTAGGGAATAGGCAATCTCTCCCTATCCACCTCTACAACCAACGTCGCACCAGAGGAAGCTTCTTCAATCCAGTATCTTGGGCTCTTTGAATTCGACCTTCTCGAGCAAGCACATGGACAACGTTATATATTAACCTCACGACGGAAAAATTAATATTATATATAAACAAGGCAAAATTCCTCGCATAATGTTGTGAGAAAAAAAGTCCTTACATAGTGTCTCCTACTAATTATTTATTGAAATAGGACAATTGTTACAATACAAGTGTAGACATATGAATTTCATATTACAAGGCCTACATGTTGGCCCAACAATGAGCCAAGCCCAAATCCCATACAGAACCGGTTCCACGTAGGGTTGTTTGAAACCCTAATCTCCTATCTCATTCAGCCGCGTCGCATCACCCATCCCAGCCGAGGACTCCCTGCCGTGCACGCCTCTCCAACAATCCTAGAAACGTCCGGCAACCGAGACTCATGTTCATCACCAACAACCCAACATTAGACTTCTATTAGGATTCAAAATGTAATCTAAAAACATGCTTTTCTTTTATTATAAATAAGTGTAAAGCAACACCATTGGGGGACATTCGGATTACACGAAATAAAAGCAGAAATTCCAAGCAAAATTAGAGCAAAACCAGAACGTTTTTGAGAAGAACAAAAGGTAAAGCTTGTACCTTTTTTTTCATTTTGATACTTGCAGGCGTTCGTTTTGTTATTCTTGATTCGGAAAACCACCAAAGGAAACGTTTTGGCCGATGAACATAAGGGGTAAACCGAAGATCTTCTCCCTTAGATCCACGGTTCCCCGAGGCCCGATTTAGAAAAGACTTTGATTTTTGAAACGAGGGTAAAACGATCTTTCGAATGTCCAAAAAAAATAAGGTTTTGCCGCCGTTGAACAGCGGCGGCGAGGCGGTGCTAAGGTGGCCAGAATCTGGGTTCATGCGAGAACCCAACCATGTTCTTATTTTTAAAGAACATACGAGAGAAATGTTGAGAGAGAGGGAGTGACTCGGCTAGGGAAGAAGAGAAAATGAATTTTTAAACAAATTTTTGGCTTTTACACACAACCCATACCCGACCAGTTAACCCGCATGTTGACCCGACCCAGTCTTCTGACCCGCATGTTTTTACGTATTTAAGGGTAAATCCCTTTTTGGACCCCTATTGTTTTAATTCTTCCATTATCGCCCTAACCTCTCTTAAAATTGATCCCCAACTCTGTATTCATTCAATTCGGTCCCCATGTTTTTTTATTTCTTAATTTAAATGTTGTTATTAG